TACATATTTGCTTACTTTTTAAATGCTCTGTGTAGGTGGTGAAATATTTGAATTCCATCAGACATATTCATTTTATTTGTTCCGAATTCGGGAAGGTAATTTTTGTGTGTGAATATTTAAATACAAGCTTGTTTACAGAAAAAAAAACTCCCGGTAACGTCTGCATGACTCACGCATGACATTACAACTCACCTAAAGTTAGCTTTGTCATAGCTTATTAAAAGTTAATTACACTGGTTTATAGCAAAAATGTTTTATGGATGCCACTAACCAATTCCTATGTAGAATTGCTCGGTGATTCCGAAAATTGTTTAATTTTTATTCTATGGTTAAGTTTTTGAGATATTTGTAATTTACCGTTATTCAGCCCAAAAAAAAGAGTGGTTCCTCTCAATCACATACAACTTACGACCCAATTAAACAATCCTAATACGAAATACGGCAAATGAAAAGCAATGAAATTCTCCATAAACCGTTTATACGCCACTTTCGATATTTAGGCCTGATATTTTCTGGGAAATTAATTAACAATTGGTTCGTAAGAGATACGTGGTTAAGTGGAAACACTCTTTTTTTTTAAGCTGAATAACGGTGAATTGCAAATATCTCAAAAACGTATCCATGGAAAAAAATTAACTCGATTGTCTGGAGAACAAAAATGAAACTAATATTTTGGATTCAGTGTTATTTATCAAAAACACGCTAAAAAGCTGACTATAAGTTGGTTATTTTTTATCAATTGATACTTTTTTTCTGCAGGGTACATATAGTGGTCACGCAGGCAGGGCGCCCAATATCCACGCCTTTGTATGTGTGTGCGTTTGACACGTTTCAATGGTTTGTGGCTTCGCGTTTATGCATAAATACGTAATTCGCGCAATTATGTGGAAAATTTGTGTTTTTTTTTGCTTAATTTTCTTAATTTGCGAAACTACATGCGCTCCCATATAACAGCCAATATGGATGTATTTCCAGCCAGCCGAACAGCCGGCTATCTGTCCGGTCATGTTGGCAAGCCATGCAATTGCTTAGACGGTCAGTCAATGCGGTCCATTGCCATTGTTGTGCTTGCTTTTCAATTAAATTTTCAGCGCATTTAAATTTCTACAAATGCACGATTTACATAAGGTTTTTCACATTGCAGTTTATTGTTTTTGCAATACTTGTGTGTTGGAGATTTCCTTGAATGTTTTAATTCATTTAATTCATTTAATTCATTCAGCGGATGCTTGCAATTAATTCATGCGTATGCATGTGAGTGTTTAATCTGTATATTTTTTACTCCATTTTGCTGGAAAGTAAATTTACTTTTACAGCGTAATAACTGTATCTATATTAGACGGGTTCGCGAAGAAATGTTAGTAATTATGCAGAAAATTCGATTTAGATTATTTTCAGGACCTTAAAATCCTTTTTGAAAATCTTTCATAGGAGATTCTTTTCCTACCAACAATTGAGCATGACTAGCTCATCAGGGGCCACTAGAATCGTTTGCCAGGAAGCCGAGTTAAAAGCATTTTTAACATCAAGGGTTATTATCATGCAGTATTGTATTGTACCCCCCTTACAGTGTTTACCTTTTATGGCGTCCTCCGCCATATCCTTCACCAGTTGAATGGCGTCAACAGTTGATTTTTTCTTTCAAAAACCGAACTGATTTTGTGATAGCCCACCATAATCTTCAATGAACTTATTAAGTAGATATACAACCTACTACCTACGCTGCAGGATCTTTCCTGCCGAATTTAGCATGCAGAGTGGAGGGTCGGTCAATGGTTTATTGGGCTTTGGTAGTAGCTGTAGTTTCTGCCTTTTCCATGTAGTAGGAAAGTGTCCTTGTATGCTTGCATTGTACATTGCAGCGAAGATGCCAGTGAAGTGACTAATCGCTTTTCAAATGTCACATTAGGAATACAATCAGACCCTGGAGTTTTAGCTGGTTCCAAACTTCTCGTACCTCCTCGTTGGAAATGGAGGGGATAATTGGACTGGGTTGCTGTACTAGATAAATCTAATGGAGTTCGGGTTATGTAGGAAAAAATGTAAAATCTATGTTTTCCAGAATACTGGGAGAAGTTGGCATTTGGCCAGGGGTACCGACTATCCCGACACGACGTTGTACTCGAGCTTTAGAGAACAATTAGGATTGCTGCTCTTAATTTCTACTTTTAGCAGATTCCTTTTCTGCCGAAACGATTCTTGGAGATAGTAAAAATTTGCCGAATCTCTCGCTCTTTGGTACAGCCGTCATGAGCGCTGGCATTCCTTGCGCTAGAATTCTATCACAGTGTCTGCATTCGGTAAACATTTACACATAAAATCGATTTCTCATCAAACACCATTTTCATTCATACGAATAGTTCTTCACTCCTCACTTAACTCCTTCAATTATTCCGAGAGTTCATATGTACCAGCCCTTGTGGTCAGCTGTTTAAGTAAACAAAATGTATTTGAGAGAAAACAGCTGTAATTTTATTTAATCCTATTCGAATCGTGTTTCATTCGATCACGGATACCATGTTCCGGGCCCAGTTTTATGTACTACATATACGTTTTTTGTTGAATGTTTTATAAAAAAATACAATTTATTTCAAGGGGAATTCATATAAGGTGACAAACGAAGTTCAAAAACAAAAATGCCACTAACAAATTTTACTTATTATGACATTACGATTTACAACAAATACATCACTTTGATATTAAGAATCACCGAGGCGAAAATCGTGCTGCTTTTGTAACAACGCCTTACCTGAATTCGCCTAAATGAGTAAAAACTAACTAATATTGTTTCTTTAAAAAAATCTACCAACTTCTACCAATTTTTGCATGTACCACTATTTATTTTTTCGAAGTCCGTGCACTGCCTCAGAGGGGGCCCCGTACTAATTTGGTTTAGAAGCGATCACTGGATCAGGAAAAATTAACAGTACTCTTAAATTTTTGTATGGGAATTGAACACCGTTTTTTTTTTGCTTAAAAATTACTTGTTTTTTTTTATGTTTATTATTTTTTTTATAAAAGTCTAGCACATTACACTGCCAAAAAACTTTCTGTTGAGTAGATTCTTCTTAAAGGATTTTTCCCGTAGAATCCGAATCTGACCGTAAAGACAGATATATTGAATCAATTTGTTGCTTTAGAGAGGTTCAAAAATGTCCAAAAACTCGTTTTTCGACACCTTTAAACCTAAGTTGCTCGAAAACTAGAGCCAATCGAATGTTTTTAACGTCAGATTTGGATTCTACGGAAAAAACCCTGTAGGAATCGGCTGTAATATTTTAGGCAACATAACATTGTTCAAATTTTGTTGACTTGTGTTATATAACCAGCACCAAATAAATCCACATTTCAAACTTTGTACAAAAATTATAAAAATTCAACAAATTTTAGGTTGTATGTACCCAAAAATTTAAAACTTTTATTCAAATTTTTTAGAAAAATGTTAGGTACGCATTTTTATAGCCCGTTAAATTTTAGTATGTCAAAGTGCAAATATTAAGACAGTAGAAATTTACGTTGATTTTTAATATTTTTTGTTTGCTGACGGTGCTAGTAATTTTTTTTCATGCACATAAAATCAATTGCCGAGCATACTTTATATGGAAGAAAATGCGCAACACCTGCATGAATGCGATTTTATAGCGCCTTGAAGCTTTTATAAAAAATTATAAAAATTAAGCAAACAAAAGTAAAATAGCCTAAATAGTTCATAATATCATCTAACTTAATCAGCTGACCACAAGGTTATGCATATCCTATGTATGCATTGTATACCTCGTCATGACCTATCCCCAGCGTTCTATTTTTTATTTAATACCAAAAACACACCAATAAATTAATGTTCTAAGAAACACAGAAATTTATTTTTCTTTTTGATTTATGTGTCATTGCAGCCCACGTGGCGTCTCTGGGGCGAGGAGCACGAGAAGAATGCCATTTTCACTGTCTACCTTAAAAAGGTGCGCTATCATCGACCAACACCCACGGCGAACAATGTAAGTGCCCACCCACAGGCTGGCAGGATCGACCACCAGCCGACATATGTAGAACAGAATTTTTAATTAACTTTGTTTGCCTAAAAGGCAATCACCTTGACTAGCCCAAATTAATATGCATTAATCAATTTTCTTTACTTTTCTCCTCTCACTCCTTCTCGTTTTGCGCACGTCATCGCAGGATTCGGACGACGAAATTAGCCACCTGGAATGGGAAACGGTGAGAGTGCGCTTCGTGAAGGCGGCCACATTGTCGCGACTGGTCGAGGCGTTAGCCACCGACGATGGTGAATTGGAGTCAACATTCATCAATGTATTTCTCTCTACATATCGCACCTTCTCTACACCCAAAGAGGTGCTCGGTCTGCTCATACGACGCTATGACACACTCAACGACAAACACCTGCAAGAGATCGAAGAACATCAACAACTCGACGATGTCAGCTACGATCCGGCGGCGTCCATACACGAACAGCACAAGAAAACTCTAGTCTCTGCGTTGCATGTGTGGTTGGATGGCTTTCCGGAGGATTGGAATGAGGATAGCCTGCGGCAGATATTAACGTTTGCGTCAAAGCGGCTGCCGCGCTCAGAGTTGCATGTGAAGGTATTGCATCGACTGGAGCGCATACTGCGACAGCAGGTGTATGGTGAGGGTAGCATGCCACCTTGGCTGCCGAGCAGCATGGGCGCGAATGCAAATGGCAGTGGCATGAATATGAGTATGAGCGTGGGTCTGCTGCCGCAACACTACAATGCAGAATTCACAGAACAATTTGCGGGGCTCTGCTTGGCGCCGGCGTTTCGTGGCCCGACTCACTTCTTGCAGGCATTCCGCTTTCCACACGTACCGGTGCGACATTTCGCCGAACAGCTGACGCGAATGGACTCGGAGCTGTTCAAGCGGCTGATACCACACCAATGTCTGGGGGCGACGTGGGCGCGACGCGATAAAAGCGGCTCAGAAACAGTCGTGGCTACGATAAATCAATTCAATGCTGTACTCTTTAGGGTTATTTCTAGTATACTAATTGAGCCAAGACTTAAACCACAGGTGAGTGGGTTGAGTTGGAAAATATTTTATGGGTGCATTCTGATTTTGCTTCTTTTCATTCATAGGAACGTGCTTTAAATATTGCCACCTGGATTGATATTGCGCAAGAATTGCGGTTGCTAAAGAACTTCTCTTCGCTGAAGGCGATTATTTCGGGCTTGCAGTCGAATCCTATTTACAGACTTTCAAAAATATGGGCAGTGCTACCCAAAGAAAAGGTTTGTGCAATTTCGTACATCAATTTAATGTAATTTGATACGAGGTGAAGCCACTGCAGCTAATACCTACATTTTTATCTTCCAAACTCAGATGGAGATTTTCAGTGAACTTGCCAGAATATTTTCGGAGGACAACAATGCTTGGGCGCAGCGTGAGGTACTCATGCGTGAGGGCACTGCGAAATTCGCCGATACGGTGGGTGAGCACGATCGCCATCTGCAGAAAATCATACAGAAACAAGTGAGTGCGCATGCGCAATACCAAAACAGTATTGACCGTAGCGAAGGCAAACGACGCAACTGACCTAGACGGCAAACACACCCCTTAGCATTAGCATAGTGCACACTTAGCATATCCCCCTAATTAACTATACTTTCGTTCCATGTCACAGAGCACGCAGACGTCGCACGGCACTATACCTTACCTGGGTACCTTCCTCACCGACCTGACAATGATACATGCCGCCATACCGGATACGATAGGCGAACACCAGCTCATCAATTTCGACAAGAAGCGCAAAGAGTTCGAAGTACTGGCGCAAATTAAACTGCTACAGGGTGCCGCCAATACGTACAACCTGCGCGATGATCCAAACTTCGATCGTTGGTTCGCCTCAATGCTGGTGCTGGACGAGCGTGAAGCGCATACACTCTCCTGCCAACTCGAGTCGCCCCCACCAGCGCCGCGCAAGTCCACTGCCTCAATTAATACATCGCTCACGAACACGACGATCTCATCGAACTCCATGGGCGTCGGTGGTGTCGGCGGCAATGGTCACCGCAAGACTGACTCGATAGCCTCGAATTCGAGCAGTGGTGCCGGATCGCAGTTCTATTGCGAGCTGAACAACAGCTACAGTTCGCACTATAGCTCGCGGCACAATTCACTCGATCGCGATGCGCAGGCGCCGAATGCGTCACTGCTGTCTGCATCGAGCAGCGTGTCGAATCTTTCGATGGACTCGAGTAATTCGGGTGGACAGAAGTCGAATACGAAAATGTCACATTCACATTCGACAAATGGCGTACGTGGTAGCGCGGCGGGACACAACAACTCGCAGCTGAATGTTGGCTCGCCGATTATCAACGCACAGCTGGTGCAATCGCCGGGAGCGAAGACCAACAATGCGCCCGATTTTTACATCATACGCGTGACGTATGAGACGGAGAACGTGGAGTTGGACGGCATCGTGCTATATAAGAGCATAATGCTGGGCAACAATGAGCGCACGCCGCAGGTCATACGCAACGCGATGATGAAGCTCGGCCTCGAGGCGGATCCCGAGCAGTATACGCTGGCACAGGTGCTACCCGACAAGGAGTTGGTAATGCCGAAGAATGCGAATGTCTACTATGCGGTGAATACGAACTTCAATCTGAATTTTATATTGCGGCCGAAGAAGAAAGATGCCAGCACCAATGGCAGCTAGTGTTGTGGGAGGGGAGAAATGGAGTGCGTGTACCGTTTTAAGCTCGTTTTTTTTTTCGACCGCTTTGGTGCTTCAGGCGAGTTGGAAGAGAAAT